AGGTAAGATTCATCTCCAATTACCTACACTACAGGTTATGTAACTGTCTAACCTCACGCTGTAGTTATTAGAGATCTTGTCAATGGAAGGAGCTGTTCTAACTATTCCTCTGTACAAGTTTAATTCCTGCTTTTCAATGTATAAATTGACTCAATTTCAACTACTTCTTCATTAGAGCTAATGGAACCTCTGACAGATATCTCACAACAAAACATCTCTACTGAAGAAAAGTAAGTTTGAATCTTACTCTTAATGGTATCACAGGAAGGAATGCTGGTTAAATCAAGCCCTGGTGAGCAGCATAAATGTAATCTGCTAGTCTCAGTATGATGTAATTTTTTTATCAAAAAAACAATATTATCAAATTGAATCAGAGGAATAAATAGGCTTTCAAATGTCATATTGATAATTCTTCATAACTAACTGTTCTGGATTTTTTTCCTTTGAATTATCTCCAAAAATAAAAATGAATTCCCAACACCAGCACAAGTGAGCAGTAGGGTGAGGGATGACTGCATTGGTATGAATTCTTGAGTGCAACCCTTATGCTTTTTTTTTTTTTAACTTCTCAGGGAAATTTTACACAGAAAAAGTTTAGATTTCCATTGTTTAAAAGATTGGTGGGCCATGAAGGAAAATAACCTATTAATGAAAATGAGACTCTGAAAACAGATTAATTGTAGTAGGTTAGGATCATAGTGACAGATAATAAATGAGGAGATCCAAATTGAGGCAGCAGGACTGTGCAAGAGTTGTTATGCTGAAAAAAAATTTTCAGTGAATCATTTGCTTAATTTCTGTAGCTGAAGGAAACTCTCCACCACTAGAGGCTAACACAAAGAATTATTCGTATTCACCTACTTGAACTTAAACCTCTGGCTTTAGGTTTGGGTAGCAGCAAATTAACCCTCAAACCTTGGTGCAGTCAAACTCACAATCCCATTCCAGTCCTGAGTTATGTGCCAATAATTTCAGTTTTCACTGACTTGGTTGTCAAAACTACAGCTGTAACTTCTAGTTAATGCAAATCATCTTTCATCTTCAGCCGCTGCAACTCTATGTCACTTCATTCTCTTCTTTGCAACCAGCCCTTTGTATTCCAAATATTATGAGCAGCTGGACTTCACTGATCTTGTTTAAAGAAGATATGAGCTTTGTAGAATTCATGGTCCAGGTGTTGTGCACATCTGAAAGGGTTTCTGAGTTCTGCTGCCCAGTTAGGGGCTTATAATAAGGTAAGAAAATAAAATCTTTACCTTATCTTATAAGGTAAGATTTAATTTTCTAACTGGAAATTTAGCAAAGCAGAGACATTTATTTCTTGCTGACAATCGCTGTTAAAACACTTAGAAGCAGGGCAAAATCTTGTATTTTCAAGAGAGCACGATTTAGCATTCATTAGCTTCTTCTAACCTTTCTAAGCAAGTACCAGCTCCCAGAGACAGTTTGGTATTACATCGTCTTGCTGCCAATGCCATGGAGAACCTTTAATGTTAAATGACTTAAATGTGCTCTGCACCTTAAATGTGTGCTCCTGTGCACTGTAAAAGTCATCCCTTGTGCTCATTTTGTGTTGGCATTCTGCCAGCATGTGTCAGTGGCAGCCATACAGTGCTTTGGTGTTTTACTGTAAGCACAGCACGTGGAGTATCCTGAGAGGGGAAGTCAAAATCTGAGCACTGCATTGTGCAGTGAACATTGTTTGTAAAATAGGGGGAATGGGCCTTGGAGGCAAGATACAGAGAGCACTACATCTTTGCCAATCAACTCTAGGAAGAAATAATTAGTTTATTGGCATGAAAATCTTGTACCATCTCCAACGTCTGTTTTGCACTGAGGTAATAAAATGTGGTGTACCAGAGGTACTGCTTGCTAAAAGCACACACACATATTCTCTTTTTAAAAATTCATGCTTTTCATTATAGCTCAAAGTCAGCTTTATTGTTAAATCACCAGTTTTATTACCTAAATCAATGACTTATAATATGAATCAGGTCTGGATTTCACGAGTGCAGTTCCTTGATAACTGCTCATGTGGACATGTTAGCTATGTTGCCTTAAAAAGGGAATGAAAGTGTGTGTCACTTTTATGTACTCCACTTTCATCTCAGATTCCTGCTGCTTAGAAATTCTTATGTATGAAAATAAAAGTGAATAGCAACAAATCTGAGCAACTCACTAAATAAATGGAACAGAGGAAAATTGGATTCCACCCGTTCAGGCTTGCTTAATTGAAAATCAGTCAAGGAAACTGAGAAATGCTCTTAACAATAACAGGAAATGATGATTTTTCTGCTGCCCTTGGAGTCCAAAGAAGAGTAGAAGAAATCTTATGGCAGAGACTAAATATTCCAGTTGTTTCAGCAAAGGTTTTGTTCCATTATAACTGCAGTAATTTCATGTATTGAACTAGCAGGGAAATGTTGCACAGTGTATTTATCTTTCTAGGGGAAACTACCTTGCCTGCCTATGCAGTGTCAGCTCATATCATTCTTTGTGAAATGTAATGGTGTTATTGGGGAATGTGGATCATGATTTGTGGGTTGAATAAACCATAAAAACTTCTGGTTTCAGCTAGCAAAGTTGGTCTGATTTTCTTTAACAGTCCACACAGGACACATGCCTGGGTGACAAACTACCTTGTTTTCAGTTAGTGTAGGCTGACTTGTAAGAAAATAAACACATACACAATTTATATCATCAGCTTAACACAAAGTATTACACAGTAGTGTAATGCTGGAACAAGAGACTAATTAATTTACATTAACTTATCTGCAATTCTTTCAGAATAACATTTTTAATAGTGATTTCTGCTGCAAGTTACAATATGTAGATGAATTTCCACTTTTGCACTTTTCTGGGTTTTTTGTTTTGGTTTCAGTTTTTTGGTTTCAGTTTTTTGGTTTCAGGTTTTTGTTTCATTTTGGGTTTTTTGGTTGGTTTGTTTTTGTTTGGTTTTTGTTTGGTTTTTTTTAAATCCTAGTGTCTGAATAGATTTTTCCACTGCTATAGAAAGAACAAAATTTTTCCCTCTTCTGTTCTTTTTCTTGGATCTTCAAGTTTTGCATCAGGATATTTTTATTAATTAAATAGAACAGTTGTTTTCAAATACCTTATTGCTGTGTCAGGACGTACCAGAGGATGTGCACAGTGACAACAGTTTGGACAATTCAAGCATTATGTATTTTCTGTGTGCTTTTGATTTGCAAGGTAGCTGTGTGCTGTCTCTGTGCTTTCAGGGAGCAATCATTGCCTAGCTAGATGTTCCATTTATGCATAATCTGGTTTTGGTGTGGTTTTTATGGACTCCTAGGGGGTAACAACATCCTTCTGTCTCTCAGACTCTGAAATAAAAAATCCTGAGGGTACTTTTTTTTTTCTCTGTAGTTTATGATAGAGCTTGAGACCCCCCTACACTGGAATTGTAAGTTAATTCACTATGTTCAGCAATTTGGATTTCAGAAAGCAATTCTCTCTAGTGCATTTATCACTTTTTGGGTTGCTTTTCTCCTGTATTCACTTACAAAACTAAGCATGTTCACAGCCCTCAGTAAATGTCTCAGTCAAACTATTTTAAGAGCCAAACACACCGTTCCTCCTGTCTTAAGTGTTCCTTTTGCAGCTCCAGGAGTTAATTGGTAAATATTTTCCCAATGACTTTCAGAATTAGTTACTGCATTACAAAAAGTTCAGAATTTCTGTAGCCTAAACCATTAACTTAGAATCTTGTATCTGTTGACTGTTGCAATGAGAAAACAACTTTTATTAAAAAAAAAAAAAAGGATTAAGTAGTTTATAAACAGTAGTTTATAAACCGTACTAAAAGATTTTTTCCAGATACTTCTAGTAAACACAATCAATTCCTAAAAATTACAAGAAAGCTCATTTGTAAACATAGTAGGGTGGATTGTCAGCCACAATCTGTCTGTTGTGTTTTTCCAAGAGAGTGTAGCTGTTGCATCCCCCTGTGATCCCACTGGTCATAGGAAGGGAGGAAGGAGAGTCTGAAGGTCTCACACTTTCTTGGTGAGCTAACAGACGCTTTGTGGACTGCCCCTAGCAACAGGACTTGTTCTCCAAATGGGCTGACATGCCTGTCTTGTGTGACAGAACACTGTCTAAGAAGGGGTTTCTTTTGGCCGCGTGTCTCTGAGAATTGACCTTTTACCTTGGCAGTGCAGCAGCAATCGCAGCTGCTATTGACTGTACTTCATCAGCCTCCACTACTCTGCTGGCTATACTGCAACTCCTCAAAGTTACCAGATAAATCTTTGTTAAGAGCATGGAATTTCCAAAGGTGCAAAGTGCTTGAAAGATGGAATTCTGAGTTCTGGTCTCAGTGCACATTTAGAAGGAGCCATTCTGATGCCTCCAGCATCACTGATGTGCCTTCCTGCTCTCTCTTCAGATGGAAGTCACCAGTGAAGCCTTCCATTTATGCTTTATGGTGTCAGCAGGAATAATTCCAGCTCTTTTCTTTTTTAAAACACATATATTGGAAAAAAAAAAAAAAATTAAAGAAAAAAAATAAGTGTGAGCACTAGCATAGACAAAATCAGGTCTGTTATCTGTTGTGATCAATAAGGAAAATGTTTTTAAAAGGGCACAATCTAAAATGCATTCTGCATTTTTCTAATTATTATTCTTATGTACAAAGGTAGAACAAAAATTTATACTCAAGGTATGTGTTTCTGAAATCAGAGTTCATTTACAAAGTATTGTAAAATTCCTATTTAATTGTAGCATGTATGTCTTAAACAGTAAAATGAATTAACCTCTCATAGTGTTCAAAGTTTTATTTAATATTTTACCTCTACAAAACTATGGAGAAGAAAACCATAATGTAATGTTAAGTTTTCTGGTTTTGCCTTTCTATATATATGATTAAAATTTTATATTGATGATAATGTGATATTTGGTGCCAGGTTTGATTTTGATTTTTTGTGATTTTTAATATTAAAATAGTGTTAAAGATTATTTTTTCACTGTTTTAATTTCAGATTTGGATTCTCTAACAGGGCATGCATTTCAAGGTAAAGTGGACAGTTAGATTAGATTATGTTATTTGTTTGTTTTATACTCAGTTTATTGAGTTTTCTTGGAGGGTGGGGGAAAGGGGTGTTGTAAAATTTATTTGGTGTGCTTCTGACAGCAGTTTGTTACGTGTCAAAATTGTATTATTAGGTGGATTTTTAGATTTCATATAAATGAAGAAAAGGTAGCTATTAGATGCACTAGTTTAAAGAACAGAATTGAAAATTTGCATTAAATATTAACTATTATATCATTAATGTAAAAAATCCAAGGGGAGGGAAAAATTATTCTAAAACAACAAGCCCTAATGAAAAGATTTTTAAGTTATTCAAACTTGCATGTGATTCTGTAAGGCAGGTAAAAAAAAAAACAAACCAAAAAAACCCACTGTTCATTATTTAAGGAAAGCAAAGATTCAAGAAATACAAGGCTTAGTTTCCAGTGTTCTTACTAGAAATGTGTAGGAAAGAACAGTAAGAACAGTTTTGAATTGTAAGAACATTTTCAGTTTGAGAATCGAGAAAGAATGATAACACAATTACATTAGTCCTCTGGATTCTACTGTACATGCATATTTTTTATGCCGTGTGGAACTTAAATTTAAAAATAGTATATTCAATTAAAAATCTTAGAATTTTACAGTTATACAATTCAACCATTTTGAGTTGTGAATCTTTTAGTAATAATAATAATAATAATAATAATAATAATAATAATAATATTTTAGAAATACAAGAGTAGAGAATTTGATGCTAAGTAATTGTGAACTTCTGTGTTACTTGGGCAGAGATTTTGGCACAGAAGGAATATAAATGAGAACTTTCTGAATAAATTAAATCTCTGCTGCAAATATGTGGACTCTCTGTACTCAAAATTTTCTTTAATAATCTTTCATTTGAACAGGCAGTGAAAACTAAGGCATAATATTTGTATAAAAAAAGAGATTTAGTCAAAATTCGTGATGATATTTATCACTAGAACAATATTACTATTTATTATGTCATTGGCATCTAAAGTGTCTAGTGCATAGTATAATATTCCTCCTTCAGTTTTTCCTTAAATATCATTCTTTAAAAATTATGGGACAGTAGATTCATTTAAGGTTTTCCAAGCATTCCTGCACTGTAGGCATTAGGTATGCTGTTAGATACAGAACAAAAAAGACAAACAGAACAATAAAGTTCATTACAATTAATTTTGTGTGCAGTGTGGAGCATATCTGGGTACAGATTCTGTCAGAGATATTTGTACTTAAATACAGCAGCACAACAAATGAAATCTGTTGGAGAAGTCAGAATACTGTACATGTAGATTTTTCATTTTCATCCCAGATGAGGAAACTTATTCTGAGTATTTTGGTTTGATTTGAGTAAGGATACCCATGGAATAACATACTGCTTAATTAGGGCCATCTTGTAAATTTGTCATAAGTCCTGTCAAATATATGCATGTGTCACCAAAATAGAAATTGAGACAAACAGGATCAGTGTATCTTTTTTTTTTTTTTTTCTCTCTACTTTTTAAAGGTTGAGTCTGCTTTTGTTTTTGCATGAATATTTTATGTTACTAGATGGTGCTGTCATGGTGTGTCCCATTCTTACTTTGTAATATGACAACATAATGATAATGAGCAATACTGACAACAGACCCTTGTATTGGTACTTATGCTTCAGAATTATGGCAAAAACAAATCATCCTTATTCTGCATGGAAAATGTCCTGAATTGCACAACAGGTGATTTACATGCCTGCATTACATTCCAGGTGCAGCTGTGCACAAATCCATCAAATGGCCTGTTATTTAGCACAGGCAGAAATGTCTTAGAATGTAACAAACTGTCAAAGGGATGTAGGAGAATAGTATAGGCAGCCAATAAGCATGAGAGCCTGTCATGGACTTCACTTAAAGAGATATTTATTTGGAGACTCACAGTATGAACATGCTACTATGCAGCTCACAGAAATCACTAGAGGAACCATCTCTCATTTTATGCTTTATTTGACAGAGTTAAGACATATTCTTTTCACATAAAAGGGTAAAAGTAGTAGAATGTTCTTTCTTGCCTTCAGCTTTATTTACATTTAATAATCAACTCATTATAGTATTCTGCTAAAATAGTGCAGAATGTGTAGTTACAGATGTAGCTAAACTAAAAACCAAAAGGGCTGTCTATGTATATATGCTGGAAAACAGAACAGTAAATCCAGATACCTATGTGTTAACATGATTACTCTAGTTAGGCTAAAGTATGTTACCTTTCAGCAGATAGAAGAGAGCAAGGTGTTACTTATGCCTCTTTAATAGCAATTAGTTAATTAGCTGAGATATGTGTGTTAACATGCTGAGCAAACACAAACCAAACTCATTTGAGATTTCTATTTATCTCACCTTGGAAAAAAGCACAGCCTTTGAGCTAATCCAGCAGGATTCATTAACAAAACCTCTAAGGGTATGGTGATCCAATAGTTTTTCACTTGACCCTTGGCCAGTGCTCTGCAGGAGCAGACCATGAAATGACTCCTTTCCTTAAGTCATGTAGCAGTGTCAGTGAAATGCTGAGTGGGTGCTACTGCCAGACCCTTAGCAGGGCAGACAGACCAAACCTGCTTCTGCACTGACCTAATCACACAGGTTCCAGGGCAGAAGGGGTTTGCATCAATCTAGATGACTTTAAATTCATGTGAGTTCCCATTTGGATAGGACTGCTTTGTGAATTTCAGGCTAAGAGGAAATACTTTCCCTATCACCACTGGCAACTGCATCAGCTGCCCCATGTTTTCTGTAGATTTGGGCAATCTCTGCTACTTCAGAGACAGATCAGAATATAAAACACAGTAAAGTATCTGTCTGGTTTTTATGTGAAGGGGAAAAAAAAATTCTTTATAACCCTTGCAGTTGATTAGCTGAAACCCTAAAGTACGAGATTTGATTATAGTCATTGTCTTAATGCAGAGCTGCAAGTGTTATGGGCATGTTGAGAACTTCCAGAAGCTGGATTAAAGCATCTCTTTTACAATGATATCTAATCTCGTCCTAAAGCTCCAAGCAATGGCGAGTCCACCAGCTCCCCTGGTAAGCCATTCCAATATTTAATTACCCTTAGTGCTAGGAAATTGAAATGTTGTGGAAAGGTTGAATTTGTCTAATTTCAGCTGCCAGTCTTCCTTTTGCTATGCCTTTTTCAGTGACACTGAAAATTCCCCCTTTCTCAGGTATGCTTTCTGAACAAGTGTCTATAACAAATTGCAGTGACCTGTTGAAAGGTCTCTGTGCAGAGAAACTCTGCCACCTGGCCTGATGAACTTACTGCCTTGACCTGCAAACCTGGCCTCTTTCATAGACTATCACAATTTTATCACCCCTATGTCTACTAAAAATTTTTATACAGTAGTCAAGGTACCTTTCAACTTTTGTTCTGGTAAATCTGATATGTTTTACTCTTTAAGGCTCACACTGTAAGACTGGTTTTCTGACAGCTGTCCTAGGAACCCTTGTTTTTCAAAAACTATGAGAATATATTCATGTAGAATTTTGTAAATGCTGTATATAGAAGTAAAGTACTTTTTTATTTGTACATAACACTTCCTTCTTAATTCTCCCTTTTTTAAGGATTTAGCTACAGTTCAGGTTATGGTGATTGTGTCAAGCAAACCAAGTGGTAATCCTAAAAGGTAACTGACAGAACAAGAATGAGCATTTTTTCCCTAGTTTGATGTGGCTAACATGAGATTTGAGGTGGAAGAGAAGGCTCTTATGCCAGCAAATGACATCTAGTGGTTTCAAACTGGTGAAATCTGAGTGGGCACTGAGTTTTGGGTGATCATTAGTCCAGAGAAGAGGGAGAATTAGCCAGGATCTGTCTCTAAGGAATGGGATGGAAAAAAGGTTAGAGACTTTAAAGCCCTATTTAAATGCATTCTTCAGACTGCATCCCTATAAATAATATCTTGTATTAGCTCAGTTGGAAGATTAAGAATGTACCTTTAACTCAGAGAAACTCCACGGTGAAGATAGTTAATAGCAGTTGTCTGCTTTGGTTTCCATGGGCTGTGAAGCACACTTAAGAATTCCTGTTCTGGATCACATAAAGGTTAGTTAGGTGTCACCAGAGTTTGCAATCTATACTAGGAAATCCAAATACAGCTTCTGCATCTCTGTTGATTTTTCTTTTAATTCAGCTTTAGTATGTAGTGCTTTCCCTTTTCCCTACTACCACTCCAAAGTACCCAGCTGGCTGGTAAGATCCACAGACTTTGTTTTTCATTGTGTTAATGATGAATGCTGTTTTGTTGAAATTAATCTACATAGGCTTGAGATTTTCTGAAATATTTCAGGAACAAAGATATTGGGGTTTTTTTCTTAAAGACTTCTTCACTGTTGGCAACTTAATGCTAGATTTAAACTTATATATATATATATATATTTATTTTTTTAAAAAATTTTTTGAAATTCCCTTAATAGTCTAGGGAACAGACTGCCATCTTCAGCACTGTCAGTAAAACTAAGATAGCTCTAACTGGAATGAGAATTCTTTGAATAATAGCTTGAGCTATGGAAGGAACTTGGCATGTGCAGTCCTGTGGGAAGTGTTTAGAGAAAGAGTGTCTCAAATGCTAATCGAATATGAACTCAAAATATCCATTTTAATTCCTGGGTGTATCTGATCAAGATAGTTGATCAGTGACCTGCTCATTTTCCAGAAGAAATAACACTTTGACCATATAATGATCATCACTTCATGAATTAGTTAATGGCCTGTTGAACTGTGCACCTTCCTATTCACAGACCTCCTGGGTCAAAAACTTAAATGGACATTTCATTCAGTACACCAGTACTGGCTATTGTGGTTGAAATAAAAGTTTATCTGAGAGTGTCTTCTCAGCCATATTATTTGCAGTTGCTGTACATTGAGTCAGAAGCACAGAAAGTCTCACCTTCATCCTTTTTCTCTGCCTTTGCCTAAAGCATATGAAATGTTGGAAAGAAAATGAAGATGGGATGGCTTAGGACAAATAACACTGAGTGAAATTTAGGTCAAGAGTATCAACAACAGAATATCAAAGTTCAGTGTTATTTGATTAGAGCTGACAGATTTTCAAGAACAAATTTGAAGAAAATACTATTTTGCAGCTGGTTTTGGCTAACTATCATCTTGATTTTTATCTGAGAAAATGCTTGCCTAGTGCTGTGTTGGAGGGGTTTTTTTATCTTTCTACTGAATTTCTGTAACAATATTTTTAATTTTCAAAAAAAGTAAGATCTGTCAGCTTAGGTTGAAGACAAGCTTGATTTTAAAAAATAGTAAACCAAAACATAAAATGAAAGTCATCAAACCATAAGAGGGTGGAGTATGATGATCTAGTAAACAAAACAAAACTAAAAAGGTCACTTACAGCTGAGCTCCTTTTGAGCTTCTTTAAAATAGAATGGACAGAATCACAAACTAAGTCATCTTGCATTTATTGTACTCATCCAGTATAAATTTTATCCAAATTCGTAACATTTTAAATTCTGTTAATTTCTTACAGTTCTGTCATTGCCCCTTGACTTTTTTGTCTCAAATAAAAGCCATGAGGAGAAAGTTTGTGTGTACCCTATCTTGCCTTCAGAGTCTTAGTTGGGATGTAACTGTGCATAGTCCTGCTGTTCAAAATATAGTTTTTCCAGATGAACCTGCAGGTAAAAAAACAACGATTATGTACCAACATGAAAATGTGCTCTGGGAATTTGTTCTGTGGGAGGGGAGAAGGAGGGGGAGATATTAAAACATTATTTCAAATTGATTGAATTTTTTTTATTTCTTTTGTTTCTGAGCTCCTTCAGGCTCCTGATCCAAAATAGCTCGTATGTTTTCAGTCTGGGTTGCCTCTTCTGGGTGATTGAGCAAAGAGGATTGCATGTCACTGAGCAAACCTTTCCCGGGGTGGGAAGACAGATGTGTCTGGGGCATGCTCAGCATGCTGCTGTGCCCTTGCTCTAGAGTGCAACACAGTCATGGGGTTACAGAGATGGGAAAAGAAATGAAACTGCCCCATCATGTAGGAACTTGGCAGCTGTGCAATTCATTCCTGTATTCAAAGATTTCTATGTCCTCAACTTCACCTGTTTAGTTTCCACCTAAATATAAGCAAAAAGCAAAAATGGAAAGGATATGCACTTTTATTGAAAATATGGCAATTTCAGAAGTAAAGGAACTATATACTCCTTTGAAATTAGGAGCCTCACAGAGACATATGGTATTGATGCTTTGCCACATGAGTTTATTTTACTCTTTATGATTACTTTGTCTCATTTCTTTGGCTCTTAGCTATGATTCATACTTGTTTAACAAGAATTGTATAAAGAGCTGTTGATACAGAGGTACCGCAGGTACTACTAGTAATTTCTTAGCCATTTATATAACATGAATTATACAAAGTCTTAATGAGTTCTGTACAATTCTTGATATTTTTTAATGTGAAGTTAATGATTAATTTTCAGTTGTGCTTTTAATTAATTCTTTTTTGATATTTTATTAATTATTGTTTTTAATTGCTCTGGGGTATTTTGTTTTAAGGGTACAGGATGAATCAGAGTAATTATATGCCTCATTCATTACCACCAAACAGATTTTAAAGGAACTAAAATAAATAAAAAAAATATTTGGACTCTACCAGATACTGAGAGCTATATGGTGTATCTCTCATTTGCAAATGCATGAAGTCGTGGCTTGATTCTTCTTTAATTAAGCATATCTTTTTAGAAATATCTGAAATGTAATTATTTGAGAACAGCAAGGGCTACAGTATTTATGATACTGAGTTTGTCAAATTATCACCAATGTTCAATTAAGGCATCAATTTTTCCAAGCTGTCATTACCTATTCTTAGTCTTAGCTCTGTGTTTAGTCTGTGATGCTGCAGGAGATTGTTGCAGCACTTCATAATGTTAAGAGAAACAGGTCAAAGAAAGACTCTGAAATGCTAAAGTCTCTGAAAAGAATTATTTTCAGATGTTCTAAACTAATGCTATAGTCCACAGGAACTTATATGAAGAAAGATATCAAATCGGAATTGGAGACAAAGGCAAATCCTTAAGGAGGATAATTTGATTTTTGAGTTGAAAATAGGGTGACCATATAGGTAGTCAAAGCTTGTCTTCTTGCAAGCTTTGATTCCTCATCTAAGTCTGGCATCTTTAATTTATCCATTTTGAAGGCATGGATTAAATGTAAATTGTTTTTACAGCTAAATATAGCAAATGTTTTTAATTCTTCAGGTAGTAGCTTCTTAAATAGATAAACGTTGTTTGGGGTCTGTGTTGATGGGGTTTGTATTTACTGTAGTTATGTACTGTCCAATGTTACTCCTTGGCTGTAAGTTTAGGCCAGTTTGTAGCAGCTGTAAACTACGTAGAATATTTTACAAAATAAGTAGTTGATATTAGTACATATTCTTCTAACATATATATATATATAAAAATACATAAATGTTACAGGACACAATATAAATCATGACTGCTTTTATCCTCAGTGGCCAATTAAGTGGTCCAGCAACATTTTCTTAATGAATTTTAGTTGTTTGCTGTATGCAAAAAAAAAGATAATTTTTAAAAACATTGTTCTAATTTAGTTCTATTTTTATGGATATTAATTTATCAAATATCATTTTACCTAAAATTAAGCCACCTCAGAATGTTTTTTAAATTTATAATTCTGAAATATATATTTATTTCAGATCTTTAAATTTTTCCTTTTCTTGAAATGACCAGTTGGAGCTGTGAATTACAAAAACTATCCAAGGAGAATAGATGTCCAGATTATTTTCTATAAACCAACAGATTCTTCCCAGAAATTTTATATATTGCATAGATCATGAGTCACGTATTTCTTTTCTGTTACAAGATTTTTGACAATTATAAATCATACTGCTATATAAACACATTCTTATGAAAATATTAAATTACATTCTCTAAAGCTACAATGCCACAAGCAGTCTTTACTATTTCAAAGTAAATTTGCTGATAGAATTTAAATTTTATTTTTTACATTGCTCTAGAACTGTTTCCTTATTCAGATTTCAGCCAGGGAAGTGATCATGATCAGAGATGATAGGAGTTGGTGTTTTCCTTGCTTGTCTATCTCTGAATAAATATGGCTGTGTTTCCTGTAATCATAAATTTTGGAGGTGGTTGTGTAAGACTTATCTATCAAGATCAGTGGCTTGTGTATGTGTGTTTGACTTTAATGCAAGACTAGGCACTGTTAATTAATATGGAGATGACTTTTTACAGTTCTGGTGCTTAACAATCAATTTACAGAAACAGATTAGTTACTATTCCTGTTAATTTGGCAGGGATACTCAGCCTGCCTCACAGGTCAAGAACTGGTTATTGCTGTGATTGCGAGTCTGTCAGAGGGGATTACAGAATTTGTCCTGTAGGATAATAAAGGTTCATGCACTATTTCAGTAGCATAATCTAATGCTCATTTATTGCGTATGTTCAACTGCAGGATAAAAATACCCTTGTAATAATTACTCTGGTAGGTGTAGTGTTTTTTTCTTTTTATATCAGCTGAACATTTAAGCCTTCATCAAAGTGCTAGATCATACGTACTTAGTTTGTATGAATGAAGTTATAGTCAGGTTGTACATATTTGTTTGGATGGATGCAGAAACAGAGGATTATTTCTCTATCAGGAAAATGTCAGGATCTTTAGATATGAGAAATCATGCATTGCATTGTGGCTGGAAAAAAGAAGCTAACTGCCATGTTTATGCATTCTTTAGGTGAAGTTCATAAGTAGAATATACTGCATCTTACCCTTGATCCCTGCATTGCTCCTGACAAATAATCATGTAACCTACCCACACAACAAGTGACTGTGCTCCAGCATCACAGCTCCTTTTCCAGCTACCTGTGCCAGTTTCTGTCATCGGTGCACTTGCCAAAATGAGAAAATAACTTAGAAGTCAGAAGAATTATCTGCATACTAATACCATATATAAGTAATTCTCAGTTGTGAAGTAGAAAATTTAATGTTTTTGCCTTCTGCATATTTTAATAAGGAATACCTGTGAGGAAGTGAATGCCTTAGGGTCCCTGTCAGAGGGTCAGCTCAGGGGAACTTCAGAGACAGAGCCACCACTTCATTACAGAGTCTATCAAATGCAGTGTCCAATATAGCATTCTTTCAAAAGCATCCATTTCCCATGGATAGGTGGTGATTCACTTGCTGACATCAATCAGATTTCTCCTTCAAAAGGAATTTTTCCAGCCTCACTGAGAAAATAGTATATGACATTATTCTTTGCAAGGCAAGGATAGCAGACTGCAATCCTATACTTCCAGTAGGTAGAAATTGATGCTGCTCCCCGTGATCTTTCCATTTAAACCATAGCTACTCAAGTGTGAAATTTCAGAGTACCTTCAGTGAGAATGTTAGTTCTGCTGTGTTTTTAAGTTCTTATTTTAAATTTTTTTCACAGACTTTTTTTTTTTTTTAATTTAAAAATATGGAGCCAGATGTTTTTAAAAGTACTTTAGAGTGATTCAGATTAATAGCAAGATTCAAGGAACCATTAGGGAAGCAAAAGACTTACGACTTACGACTATGGGAGTGTGTCAGCAGTGTGTTAAATTAGTAACTGTGTGTAGGCTCAATATGAGATTTAACAGGTGCCCCAGATATGTTGTGCTGACTCTCTGCATTGAAGAGAATTTTATTTTGGTAACTGAGAGGAGGAAGGAGAGAAAGAAGGAATCGGCCAGTGAAGAAGCTGCTTCTGCACATTCCAGAAAGAATCAGACTAACATGAGAGACAGGCCAGCTTCAGATGCCTTTCACTGGACCTCCTGCACAACAAGGAGAACTAGATTGGTGTGTGGTGAGTTGAAAACGGTAGAGAATCCCATGAAATACAGGTGAGAAGAGAAAGAAGCATCTTTCTGCATCTGCAATAAAATCTATGTCTTCCTCAACATTTCCAGCATTTTGTCTGTTTTCTGTATTAGAGTCTTAGAAGACATACTTTGTGTTTTGTAAACTGCAATGACAGTGAAGTCCCTAGAATGGAAAGCAGCTATCTTGGCTAAATTATGTTGCCTGTTGCTATGGAAATGGTAGCTCATGAATTTTTATGTAAGTGCTTGAGGTACAATACTTATGACATTTTATCTCAAAAACAATGTTTATGCTTCATCCACCATCAGGTTTTTGCTTTACTTTAATGACAATATTGGGCAGTAATCCCCAAGAGCAAATGCTGAAATAAAATACTATTCCATGGAAATATCTTTCACCATAATTAACGGGGCATTTTTTGAATTGCAACATAATCAGGAAGTTATTGCCCTTTAAATCTGATTTATATATCTTTTCCCGATGTTTTAAATAAATATCATTACAGGAAAATGCAAATAATTTTAAGCAAACATTGTTTATTCTGCATGTTGTAATTAAGACTCTGCCTGCTTTCATTCAGTATCACCTATATATCATATTTTTTCCAAATTGAGATGTAGCAAAAAACCCCATCAGTATTATGACAGGCTTCAGAAATGAAGCCAAGCCCTCATAAGTTTTATTCAAAACTTCATTTCCTGTTGCATCTTATAAAACTTTCCTACTGAATGTAGCCAAAAATTTGTTTTCCTCCTGCAGAGAATTACTTGCATTCTCATAACACTTTCCACATCATGTAAAATGTACCCACTATAACTGTTTATTTCTTGCTTAATTGAAAAGTGTTATATTTGTCTTCAAATCACAGACTGGAATTTGAAACTCATATTTTCCCTATTATTTTATCAAATTATGTAGTTGCTAAATAAACAGAGAGCTATCTATCTGCAAGAGACCATAAACAAAAGAAGTTTTCTCTGGAACGCTACATTTATGCTAAGCATGTGATCCTAGTAAGGTAATTGAATATTATAAGATGAAAGCAATTCTTTAGGAATATGGAGATGCTGTAGTGTCTTTGTCTCAAAAAATCAGAGAGCAAGTGCATTTCTTGGGCAAGCAAGGCATCAACCAACATAAGAGTTGCACAGTGTTCCTTCAAGCATTTGGTGGGTCATTGCTGGGATTTTTGTCACAGTAACAAAGGGAAATACAAGCAACCATAAAAAACTGTTTTTCCTCTCACTTTTCTTTGATCATACCTTCCTTTCCTCCGTGTCTGTAATTATCTAGTCTCATCTATTGTAGGCCCAGGTCATCCCTTTTTTTGCAGCTGGTCTGAGTCCCAGCTGCACCAGTTCAGTGAAGCCTACTGCCCAGTGCCTGTTGCTGCATCTGCCGCAGTAAACTGATGTGGGCTGTGGTCTGCGCTCCCTCGCTGGCATGTGGCCATCCACGTAGTGAAGTGCCAGAGCATTCCTTGTGTGTGCCTGGGTGTGTTTCAAGGACTTAGGCATCTTTCCCAAAAAGCAGTTTGGATGCAGGCATTTTATTATTGGAAGTGGGGATGAAGGATTTGAAAGTGGTACAAAAAAGAGCTGTGTAGTGACAGCTGGCCTCAAGGCCTGTGTGATAGCCCAGGCCCATTTCATTTAAATAAGCTCATTGTTTAACCCCAGCCAGCACAGCCACTCACTAACTCCCCTCCAAGGGGAGAGAATTGAAAGGGTGAAAATAAGAAAACTCATGTGTGGAGATAAAGATAAGTTAAGAAGTAAAGCAAAAGCTGCACACCCAGGCAAAGCAAATAATTCATTCATCACTTCATTCAGCTGTCCCCATAAATGTCTCCATCATGTGTAATGCTGACTTGTGAAGACAAAAGTCATCATTCTGATGTCCCTGCCTTCCTTCTTCTTCCCCCAGCTTTATGTCACACCATATGATGTGAGATATCCCTTGGGTGATTTGGGATCAGCTGTCCCAGCTGCATCCCCTCCAGACTCCTTGTGCACCCACACCCTCCTCTCTGATGGCACAGGGTGAGATGAGGAGCAGAAAAGGCTTTGGCTCTGTGCAAGCGCTGCTCAGCAGTAGCAACAACACCCCTGTATTACCAGTTCTGTTCACAGCACAAATCCAAAACACATCCCCATACCAGCTGCTGTGAAAAAACTTAACTCTACCTCTGCCAAAACTAGCACAACATGTAAATAGAGCCTGTAGAGATATAATCCTGAGCAACAGTCTGCATTGGTACAGAGATGCTATCTCGTTCTGACTATTGCTCTTGTTTCTTCTGTAGCCATCAGATAGCCAAGTTTCCTTGTTAGGGCATGCACAGAACTGGGGGGCAGCTCCTCCCCCGGTATGCATTATTGTAATGGCTTTGAAGATAATTGAACCATGACACTTCAGATTGACTGAGAAATGGTACACTGCTCTGCCATTTCTCTCCCATGTTCACCATGAGGATGATCCTATTCTCCCCCACTCTCTGATATCTAAGGAGCTTTCTAGAGATATTAAAGTCCTAGCTCAGAATATTCTGACTTAATTTTAAAATAAAAGCTTTACAGCCCTTCCTGCTTGGTATCACAAACAACTTTCCTTGCATGATCTGATTCCTTTCAATTAAATAAGTTTTGTCACCAGGAACGTGCTCTCAACTGTCCAGATTTTTTATTTGGAAAATAAAAAAAATATTTTTCAATCATTTCTGCAATCTTTCTGCTCTGTCTGATTTTTCTGTTACTTGATGGTATAATTTGAGGAATAAATTTCATTCTTTCAAACAAACCCAGTTCCTGCTCCAATTAAGAAAGTGACAGGACTCCCAAGTAAGGATTTGCTTGATGCACTAACTTCTGTCAAGGTGGATTATAGCCATTTCTTGATTGTCATGCATTTTAATGATATTAGTGAATTTCATGGTCTGAATAGATGTTACACTATTCACTCCTCACATACTGTAAAAAGTTACATAGTCTGTTATTTTGCTATTTAAGATCATAGCTTTGTGTTTTCTTGACCTCTTCCCCTCTATTTTAGTGCCTAGTCTTTAAAATATTACTTACAATTTGCATGACCTTTGGCAAACCTCTCCAGCATATTTGTTATGCAATAAGAGACATGTCTGCAATAAAAATTACAGATGATGATATGACTGTTTCAATCTTTTTATATCTTTTTGGGGCATTGAGATATTTTTCATACTTACATAGCTGAAGTTTAACCTATTTTTCCATCACTGCTAGATATGCAAAGAATGCTAGTTAAGGTTTTAGCCATGTTAGGGCAATATATATATATGTGTGTGTGTGTATGTCTGTGTATGAAGTTTTCATAGTAGACTTTATATTCTTAATATTTCTAAAAAGTATACAAAATACAAGTTTTATAAATCTAGAAATATTCTGGACCAGATTTAGTACAACTTTCTTATGGAAAGTTGGTAATGCAACTCATACTGTTCTCAAACCCTGATACTAAGTTCAAAATAGCTAAAAACCACACTGCTGACTTGCCTGAGTTTTTATTACAAGACTTTGGCATGGAAGTAAGTCTAAGCACAGCTGGAGCCCTGACTTCACAGGGCCTCCCTTAGAGCACGCAGGTCAGTTCTGGAAGCTGATTTCCATACACCAGGCAGTAGAGAAGTACAGCCTGTGGCAGGACAGTGGATTCTGGGAGTTCTCAATTCTGAGCTTGCAGTTCTGACATGAGCCTCTCCACAACCTGCACCCACGCAGGTGTGAGAAAGGGGAGAGCAGTGACCTTCACCTTTTGTGCCCTGCTCTCCTCGCTTCAAACTACTCAGCAATATGGGCAGCCCAGCCCACACCGAGCAGCTTCTGCTCTCGGTGAGCTGTGGGCCAGGTCTCAGGGGTGTGCAGTGGCATGTGTCAGATGGTGCATCGATGCTGGCTTCACAGGCTTGGTAGGCATTGTGGTATAAGGGTTCCCTGTGTGTTAGAGTCTCTACATGCATGAGTCATCTCCGGCAGGGGCTTGGGGTAAGAAATAGTCTACACATGTAGTAGAGAATATTGTTAGTAGCTGCCTTATAGAATTGTCTGTCTTGTTTTGCTTTGCAGTTTCACTGGGTTTTTTTCTTAAAAGATAATTTTAAGTCTTGCTAAATCATCCTAGACAACTATTCATCTTCTTCAGTTGGGACAAAATGAATGGAGTTAAAACTGACAAGGTTTTGTTGCAGGAAATGCCAAGGACTGGGGATGGCAGGGGCTATAGGTATTCCTTTGCAGTATGTCACAGAGGAATGTGGGAGGTTGTGCCATCAGCTACCAAATTTGGGCCTTACAAAAAAAGTTGTTTGGAAGAGGAGACAGCAGAGAAGACCTCTCTGAAGTAGAGAGTCTTCAGAGTAGTGACTAACTCTGTCTCTCATGTTAGTCTAACTGTTCTTGTCTGTTGTTTTTCTGTACTGGAGATACAGAAGAACGTTTGAGATAAAAAAGATTTATTCTGGGTTTTACTCATGAGGAAAAACTCATCTGGGATTTAATAAGACTTGCCTGGTTCATTCCATTTTTCCTTTTAAAGAAATTCACTGTGGAATCCTTGACATGATTTATTTGTACATTAAGTATCTGATTCTACATTTGATTGTCAGAGGTGACATTCATTCCACCTAACTCTAAGTAATTACACTCTAGGTGTCTCTGTTAAAACTAGTTACCTCAGACTCCACTAAATGGAGAGAAGCAAGTACTTTCAGGATAAGATTCATCTGACCTATTTAAGATGTCTGTTTTAAGATCAGATGTATAGCAGCCTATTCATCCAATAGCACTTTATCTCCACAATGACTGTATATGGACTCAGGAGTGTTTGCCAAGATTCATTTAGGCAGCTGAGTTTGGCTCCCGTTGAGCCAGATAAACACGCAAGATACGTTCAGACTTCTAAAGTACATGTATGTATTTGGGTAGAATTCTAGCCAAGTAATATAAATCTCTTTTTGAGGTTTTAGTCAATGAGAGGTAAATGTTTATTCCATCAGCTACTCTGCATGAGAATTGATAAGGTATCAAGTATACAGGCAAGTCTTAATCAGAATAACTGATGAGCATGATAACATGTACCAAATGAGTTCCTATTTAGGGAAATGGAAATACTGAAGTCTAATTCCCCTTGAATTGTGTTCATTGTCTGACTTTTCATCCCACATAACAGCTCATACAGTGGCAATGTTGTTGCTACCCTACAACTGTGTGAGCACTGTTTAGCTAATACCCGTGTGCCATCTGGGCACTTAGCTTCTGCCAGCTCCGGTGTCATGCCTGGCTTCTGCCTAAGCAGAGTCACTATTG